GCTATTGTGCTAGCACAAGGTCTGACATCCAGCCAGAGAGGGAAGCACCGTGGGGAACTTATCTAGCCAAAAAAAGCCCCACTGGGAATTAAAAAAAGCCTGCTGTTTGATTCAATTGATTGTGAAGCTACATAAATGTGCTTTTTTACAATGGTGAGGATGGCACACATGGAATTTGAGAGCTGAAACCAGGTGGGGAGGATGAAGGGGCTGCCAGGGCTCAAAGTGGCACTACCTTCAGGAGCTAACTTGCATCCTCACCAACAGCTGGAATACTTCTGGTGGTTTAGCACTAGTGTGTTCAAATATAATCGTGTATAAAAGTATTCACTTTTATAACCATGTATTTTAATATAGTCTCCAGAGCAGTACATTTTCTGTCTTCAGCTATGAATAAAAAATATGCTGAATTGTATGTTCTCCTTTAACTGAAAATATTTAATAGAGAAGTCCCCTAATAAAGGCATAATTATCAGAATTCTGTGATATTCTAATCTATTCAATATTTCTTCACAGATGTGTCAGCTTCAAATATTGTTATACACAAAGATAAGAATTTGCAAGTGTGTATATATATATTTTAAATTTGAAACATCTCTGAAACTGAGGAGACCTCAATAAAAGCTCAACAGCTTTTGTGGTATTTTAAAGCTCATTCCAGGTCTTCATTAATTCCCTCTTTTGAACTTTTAATAAATCCTGAAAGCTAAGAGCTAGGCTGGCTACTTACAAACTATCTTCAGGGTTGAAGCCCCACACCACTGCCAAAATGAGAAAACCAACAGAACAGAGAGGTCCTCCAAAAATGAGAATAGCACATCACTTAAAAATCTAAGTCAGATTATCCAGCAAGTCTTTTTCTTCCTGGCTACATCTGAGCAATGTGATACACTTGCATCTCCACTCTCAAAGATGCTTTTACACTGTAACAGGCCATGCAGCACAGTAAGGAGATGCAAAGGAACTATGTTATGATGACTGAAAAATACACATTTGTTAGAGAAAACACAACTCCAAAGGAAGTATTTTTGCTTCCCCTTTGCTATCTTTCAAGTAACTGCAAGATTTTTAGGATATTTTAACTGCAATTGTTGTTTTTTTTCAGGTCTGCTTTCGTTCTGTCTCCACAGTAATTTTTATTATGGCAGAAGCTCCAAAACACCATCACTTCATTCCCCTGTGGATGTTGTCCCATTCTGGGGAAAAACAACCCTGTCCTTAGGAGTGACCAGCCCCAGGCTGCCTCAGCACCCACCCCTTCTCCCTGTTCACAGCAGCCACATTCCCCCTGTCACTCCAGGCCTTTTCTTCAACCTGTCTCCACAGTAATTTTTATTATGGCAGAAGCTCCAAAACACCATCACTTCATTCCCCTGTGGATGTTGTCCCATTCTGGGGAAAAACAACCCTGTCCTTAGGAGTGACCAGCCCCAGGCTGCCTCAGCACCCACCCCTTCTCCCTGTTCACAGCAGCCACATTCCCCCTGTCACTCCAGGCCTTTTCTTCAATAGTCCTATGCATTTCCCCTGCTCTCCCCATCTACTTGGAAGCCAGGCCGTCTTGTTTATACCTTATTATTATTTTTCTCCTACACTCCCCTTGATCACTCTTCTAGCTACTTCGATCATTCTGGTTCTCTCTTGCTACATACAAGTAGATCCACTCTTAAGCTCGCCTGCAGTGCAATTCATGCTATTTTTGAGCCTTTGTCTGGACATTCATGCACCTGAACTCCAAGGCACTGGGTTTTGCTTCACTGTAACAGGAAAAATCTTTAATTCAAGCTCAATTGGAAAGGTTTAACAAATTTTCCTTTGAAAGGCTACTAAAATACAGCTTATAATTGAAAAACAAAGATATTCCAGGGTGTTTATGAAGTTAGATAGTACACACAAATCCCATCATTCCCAGTTCCTCCATTTAACTTCCGTAGTTGGCAGGTCTACTTACACTAGGAAGTAACTTTTTTCTGAAATGTTTTTGCATCAAGTTCAGACCAATATATTGTAAACAAGGGGTTCTGACCCTGAGCCCAAGCCTCCATAAATCACCCTTAGCCCTTCACTGTATTCAGGAATGATCTCTTAGTCCACAGAGGTCACCTTCTCCTTTTCAACAAGGTCTTTTATCTACCAGGCTTTGCTGTGCCACTGCAGCCCTTCCAGCACAGGGGCTGGCTGTACTTGGTACGCAACCCGCGCTCCCGGTTTGTGCCGTACTGAGCTAATCGCGCAGGCCGGCAGCTCTCCCAGCCAAGCTGAGTCACTCTCACTCCGGCCTCACAGGCATCTACAGGACATTTTATTCACTCCTCCGGCCGCCCCCTCCATGCCACTATTGGGATTTGCTTCCCACTGCCCAGCTCTAATCCTGGCCCCCCAGCCTTCACCACTCCCTCCCACCCAGGATCTCCTTGCCCACTCAGCCTTCCTGCTCCACCAGCAACACAAGACTCTTCCACCAGCTTCCCCCAGCTCTCCCTCACTGCCCTTGGCTGCTTTTCCCAGTCCAGCCATAGCTGACACCCTAAGGGATAACCTGCGTGTCAGAGAATTGCTGTGTGCGGTGTATTACCCCCTCCAACTCTTCCACTATGGTACTTAACTACTTCATCTCTAAGATGATCATTACAGTTAAATATTTTGAACTGTCTTATCATCACCTTAGAACAGATTCCAGTGCTAAAAAGTGTTAAAAATTCCCATCCCACTTATTCTTTCAACTCTTGCAGCCTGAGCATCAGTCTGGGTTTGGATGGCAAATGTGGAATAAATCCTAAGAAGGGGGAAGCACCGAACTAACTGAAATGCTGGCGGGCCTTCATGCCCTGGGGTCTTTTTGGCCCCAGTGTTACTCAGGATTTGGTTGACTTCAGCACCAGACAAGAAAACACAGGACTGAGCAGTTACAGCACCACACTAAAACTGCCAGCTGCTGGCTCAGGACTGAGGTGAAGTTCTTCATCGCTGCAGAAACACACCCATCTCCCAACCAAGAGAAATTCTAACACACATCTAGAACTGAACAAATGCAAGGCAACTCATACTAATTAAACAGTTATAGTGGAGATGGTGAACTGCATTAATTTCTCTAAATAGTCTAGCATTAAAGCTCCATACCCCTCCTAATCCCCAAGAAACAAGAGATCAAAACTCAACTCCTGACAGTGACAAGTGTGTGAAAGCCCCAGACTTGGCCCTCAGCTCCTGGTTCCTACTCTCAACCCCACCACTGGCATGCAAGGTGAGAGAAAATTTCAGTTGGAAGGGACCTACAATGATAATTTAGTCCAGCTGGCTTAAATGCTCATCTGAGTCCTCCATGGCTCAGTGGGAAACAGCATTACAACCCTCTGTGCTTAAGATCTGCTGGGAGAAAGTACTGCTAGGTTTTATTTTGTACTAGTTTTCTCCACCATTTCATATTAGGATCCTTTCCTCCCCCCATGAAAAATCATGCACTTAACAAACATTTAGACAGCTGGTGCCTAAGAGTCAAAGCCAGTCATTCTCTCAAAGGCCAAACTGCCTCACTGAACTGATGTCAGCTGGTACTTAGTAGGATTTTAAAATTCAATTAAATTAAGAGACAAGCTACACAGATTAGGGCTATACTAGAATCAGAAAGAAATCTTAAAAGGCATAAAATGTCTTTACATTTATTAAGCAAACTCTGCAGTTGTTTCTTGTTATATTCTTGTTGAAAAACAGAACATTCAGAAAGTTATCACGAAAGCAAGAAACAAAAAAACTAAAGTTCACATGAGCCACACTCCCTCTTCCCCTCCCCACCCAAGCAATGGGACTATCTTCACAGCCATCCCACTTTTAACCTCCCAATACAAGCAGCAAGGCACCATTTACAGCTAGGCTGAGAAATGCAGTCTTCAGTGCACCTTCTGCATTCCTAGCAATCCACCACAGCCACTCTTCCCTTGTTTGTCAGAATAAGCAGGTTATATACACACCCACGTAGGTACAGACAGAGAATGAAAGGCCAATGTCAGTTGAACAGTTCTGCTACGACTTCAAGTCTGGAAAATGATCACTGTGCTGGGAACTCCTCGGTTATCCCGGCAGTCATTAACTCCCTTTCCCTTTGTACACACCAGTCCAGGTCTGCAAGGTTTAATTGAGGCTACGTGCTCTCACCCCTGGGATGCACGTTCCAACAGAGCCAAGAAGCAGAGGACCAGGAGAGCCAGCTCTGCCCTTAAAGTCTCAGAGAGCAAAGGATTATTTCTTGGCATTGGGGCATTTTGTTTGGTTTTTTTTTCATTTTGAAAATTAATTTGGGGATTATGAACAATTATGCTCTTGCATGTTAATCACTGTGATCTAAAATTTTCACATGAAGAAACAACACATGGAAATATTAAAGCACTCATCTTATGGATGTGGATCCGAGAACTGTTTAATAGCAGTCAGTGAAGGGGTAACATTGTGCTTTTCATCTACAGTTTAAAAATAATGATTTGTATATCTACTTAGTAAAACAGTAAAATTAAGAACAGAAACTGATATTAGGAAACAGTGAAAATGTAATAATTCAACATATGATGCTTTTCAAAGCTATATACTTAATGAGCCTAAATAGACACCTACGGCTAGGAGGGTTTTAAAAAAAATAATAAAAAAGAGACTTATTTTCAATTTTTTTCCTTTTTTTTTTTTCAATTTTTTGTCTACTATACTATGCCTTGCTTTGGTGTTCTCTCTGCTGCCAACTTAACACTTTTTAGCAGTATGTTTACGCTTATGTTCTTTTCAAATGCTTGGCATTATAGTGAGATCTCATATCTTTCCTCAAATTAAACTTTGCTCCACATACTCCACATGTATACAGATGAACATCCATGTGCTGCTCCAGTTGCTCATTACTTGGGAATATCTGAAAGCAGACCTGGCATATAGTCTCTCCAGCTGATAAGTGAGATATCATATGCCGTACATGGTCATGTTTTCGGAAGTTTCCTTGATCACAAATGGAACAGACATACCTGGCCATGCCTTTGTGCATATCATTGTGGAGCCGCAACTGGCGCTCTCTTAAGAACTGCTTCCCACATGTCTGACAAACAAACTGTTTTTCCTTGGTGTGAACGGTATAGTGTTCCCGCAAGTGGCAACGCTGATAAAATCCTTTCCCACAAAGATTGCAGAAATGCTTACGTCTGTGATCCCTCTCGTTCTCTTCCATCATGGAGTTCTTGAACAGATCTTGCTCCAGGCAGCTTGACATATGTTCAACCACTAGGTTTTCTGTTTCAAAACGCTGACCGCAGTTGGGGCATCGGAAAGGACAGGCAGAATGCTTGTATAACTGCTTTTTTTGAAGGCTGTTCATTTGGAAATGACTGTCCCTGAAGTCCTCCAGCATCTCTGCAAACATCATGTCCCTTATTTCTGACTGTTCCTCGGGGTTTTCTTCCAAGTCCATTTTCTCCTCAGAATTTCTGATACCGTTCATGGTCAGATCCTGGGGTTCTCCACAGGTCTGTGCATGGTCCTGTAACTGCTTGCCTTTGACCAGTATTTGACCACACTTGCCACAAGCACATATATTTTCTATGTGTTTGGATAAGTAATGAGAGGACAAATCTTCCTCGGTAATTGTTAGCCCACAAAGTTCACAAGGAGCATTTTCTACATCTTCCTGCACTGAAGGAGCCTTCCTGCTCAGGTGCCGCGGACTTTTCAAACACTTTCTTTCATCCTCATCCATGGATAAACGGGGTTTTAAAGTCTTCCGGGCATTTCTCTTCTCTCTGAGTTCTTCCTCAACATAGTATCTGTAAAGTGGCTCTTCCTGTTCATCATCCAGGTCATCGTTGTCAGAAGACTCATTGCAGTCTTTATCTGTCACCTTAATAATGTTAAAATCCTTCAGTTCTTCTGTAGTATTGTCCTCTGGTTCCATCTTGATGATGATCCTCTTCCTCTCAGAGGCTCTGCTTCCTTCTTCACCTGATGTCTCAGAGGCAACTGTGCTGCTTTTTCTGCTCGTGATGTTTGACATGGGAGATGAAGAATCATCCGCAGCTTGGCTCGAGTCCCCCTTGTATTTTTCTGTTTGTGCGGAAATTATTTTAGAAGTAGAGTCCTTCTCGTTAAAGTCTATTTTTTCAGCACTGTAGTACCTGGCACTTTGGTAAGAATGCCTGTTATTGCACGTTAACACGTGCTCATCCAGTAGCTTCTCACAGCTAAAACTAAACCCGCAGCTGTCGCAGGTGAAGCTTCTTCCAAAACGGCGCGAGTGGGACACGCGCTCCTTTGTGTGAGAAAACTTGGACATGGTGCTTTTTTTGCAGACATCAAACAGTTGTTCGGGGAAGCTGTTGAGTTGCAAAGCTTCTTCATCAGGCTCTTTGTTATGGGATGTATTTACTGTTGAACTTGGCGGCTCCATGCCCCACCTGTTTGCTTCGCTGCCATTTCTAGCGAGCGTGTCTTCATACATTCTCACGCCAAATATCATTTTACTATTCTGGGTGCTAGAAGCAGAAGATGAACATTTTAAACTAGATGAGTCTGTATCCTGTATATCTTCTAGACACTCAGGTACATTATATAGCTGTAAATGGTTCATGGCCACTTTAAATTGCTCAAAATTGGCAGGGGCTGTCATAATCTTTCCTAAATACATGAACTGCAAAATAAGATCGAAGCATTCAGCGCTAATCTTCATGTTGCTTAGATTCAGCTGGGCTGTAGTGTGTTGATGGTTCATAAAAAACATCCTAAAATAGGAGCTGCATGCAGCAAGGACTGCTTTATGTGCTTGAAAATAAATATCGTCGATAGCAATACAGCAGTCGCACAGAAAGCCCCACTCTCTTTGGTTGTTTAGCTGCTGAAGGACATAGTTGCTGTGGCTGGTTCTTGCCATCTTGTACATCAATTAAAACCCTGCATAAAGAAGAAGACACCTGTTAAATCATGAAGACATCTGTTAAATCCTAAGAACAAAAAGGACGTAAAGGTAGGGAGAACTGCCATCTTTTTCTTCTCTAGATCTTCCTATTTTCACATTGTTTGTGGTAACAGCTTCCTGTCTGGACATCTTTGCTGGTAACTACTACAAGTATTGATGCCAGTGAAAACATCCATAATTCCATGTTCTCACCACTAGACTTACAAGACTAGTAAACTAATAAACATAACCACCACACGTCAATCAGAGCAAAACTGCTAGAATATAAATTAGCAAATCCCAAAGTCCTACAGCCAAGATTTTCAGATATGAGTTCTGGATGCAGAACTTCAAAACCTTCACAGGGTAGACTTCTGTAAGATGGCCCCAGGACAACACCTATAGAAGGTCAGCTGACTGTGAGAAACCACTCTTCAGTCTCAGCTTGCCTTCTTCACTTTTCTGTCCAAAGAACACATGATGCAACATATACTGGAAACCAGACCAGGCTCAAACTGGCCTTTCCCTCCCCATTAAAGAAGATAAATCAGTGAAGCACCCACACAAGCTACATCCACACACATAGTGTTCTTCAGGGCAGCTCAGGGGCAGTCTCAACCTTATCTGCCAGGCGTCTTGCAGACCAGGACCTGCAAACCCACATGCCCAGAAGCACAGTGCAGCCGGGCTGCGATGGCACGTCCCATGTCCGAGCCCACTGCAGATGGTGACCAGGCTCGTTGTGTGACAGCCACAGGGACTGCAGAGAGGCAGGAAGTGGTGCAGGCTGTGCCTCCAGCTGCTCTCGAAACCACGCGCTCAGAGCACTCTCATACAACCCAAACAGGTCGAGGGGAGACCGGACAGCGACAAGCTCAGCAATGGAGAAGTACGAAAGCTCACAAGCCAGAGGTGAAGCCACAGCAAAACCAAGCCTTGACAAAGGCTGGAGTGAATGGTCTGTGAGTGCTGAAAGTTGCTGTCAGTGGATTAATTTGTCCTCAGGAGAAAAGAGGAAGAAAACTTGATGATTTATGTGAACAAAACATCCGGAAAAATGTACTGTACTCAGGAGGTGTGCATGGGATATACAGAAGATAAACTTAACCAACTATGGCCAGATCCAGCAGCTAGTCACTACTAATTTTGGAAAACCTTTACTGATCCACATAATCTGTAGTAACTGCATGGGGAGAGGAGTGAGAAACCGGAAGAAGGTAAAAACAACACCCTAATTGAAATGAAAAACCCAAAGCAATAAGTAGCACTCTTAAATTTTTGAAAGGTTGTTGCAAACAATACAAATAACTGGAAGAGATTTGTACAAATAAATGACAGGCTAGCAAACGTTAAATGGCATGTTATGACTCAATGGAACACATGGATTGATTTGCAACCATTCTTTCAACTGTCCAAAAATTGACAAAATACACACTAAAACACTTCCTATTTCCTCTTGTTCCCCTGACAGCTTACATCTAGAGGCTGGGAAACTGGTGGAGAAATCCAATTCCACAAATAGTGTTGAATTCACAAGTCATGGGCATTGCCTGGCTCGTTAAGTAGCAAACCTAATGTTAAGTCACTGTTCCTTCATTCCACAAAGGACTGCCATGGAAGAAATGCATTCAGCCTCTCAAGACCAGCAATATTCCCAACTGCCAATTCATACAGCAGTACCTATGGATCACCACCAGCACAAGACCTTGTCTGGCACAAGGACCCTTGAAATGATTGTTAAACTACACTCTCAACACAATCCTCCACACTCAAAACTCAAGGTGAGGACCCCGACATAATATTTCTCTGACGAGTTTGGGCCAGTGATGTCCACCACAAAAATACAACTCGTTGCATGAAATTAATTTAATTGCTTTCTTACTAACTCACAAAAGGGTGGCTCTGAAAGTAGGTGAATCTCTGAAACAAATTCATGTTTTTTCCACCAAAAATTGATTATGGTCTAAGTCACTGGGTAATTTCAGGTGTTTCTGTGACAAACAGCAAAGTGTCAACATCAATAATAAAAGAACACTTCATATTCTTCCAAGTGCTAACATGTTTTGTATTTGAGGTAATTCATTAGATGCTTAAATGTAATTTTATACACAGTATCAAGTATTCAGAACAGCAGCTGCATAATGACAGAGAATTTACTTCAACTTCTACATTATGAGAGTAAAAACCAACAAAAAACTAAGAAGAGGCAGTCTAAGGTACCACCGGCCTCTTGGCATGAACTGCTAGCAAGACAAGAAAAGGCTGAGGACAGCTGGTTTTAATTTCATCCTCAAAATGGCATGTTCTATTTTTTTCTCTTTTTTTTGGTCCACTGCAAGTACTTCATTGTATCTTCAAATAGCAGAAGAGAAGTACAAGCATCAAGCCTGTACCAGCAAAGAAGGTCACAAACTGTCTGCACATATCTGCAGACCAGGGCATTTCCACATGGTGGGAATGATCTGGCAGCCACTGGAGTGACAGCACACAAACTTGTCTAAGCTTCCTTCTCCTTTGAAAAAGGTGAAAGATATTTCTCCGTTTGACAGGTGAACTCTCACAGAGCTTTTAACACGAGTCCTGATAAACAAAAACAACCCACTGGCAATGTCCACCTCCTGCCATCACTCTGGAAAAAAACAGCCTGAGCATGAGACAGTTTGACCATGGAAGTTGTGGAAGCCCCATCCCTGGAAGTGTTCAAGACCACGTTGGGTGGGGCTCTGAGCAACATGGACCAGTGAGAGGTGTCCAGCAATGCAGAGGGGTTGGAACTACATGATCTTTAAGGTTCCTTCCAATCCAAACCATTCAATGATTCTATGACCAGGATGCCAAGGTGCTCAGATACATACCTGGCCTCTATCATGGTAGGACTACATGTAGGTATCAAAATAGAGTGTCTGAAGTTGATTATGTTAATGAAAGTACTAGCATCCTCCTTCTGGATGCTGTATTAACCTGCTGGATGTAACTATGTATTTACAGCTGCCAGCACTTCCCACTAGGACAGCGTGTGTTGAGGTATTTAAAACTTTGACACATTTCAACCAGCAAAGGCAAAGATTTCCTTCTGAATTGTCTGCTTTGGACTCCATTTTTTCCCCCCTCCATAGAAAAATTCACCCAGTATCGTTCAAAAAAATGAGCTTTCATCTATGCAGATGATTACTTTTTCTTTTAAAAATAAAAGAAGTTTCTCTGGAGAGACTAAATATGAGAGAAAGTGTTATGTCCTGGATATGTTGTCATGATATAAAAATCTGCCTGAATTTGGCCGAGCTAAAAGCTTGAGAGGGAGAAGATAAAAATTACCAGTTTGTTCACACTTAAGACTTGTTAGTTACTAAAATCTCAGATTACAGCCCCACTGAGAACATTTCGTCTTCCTACAGCTCCTCTGTATACCAGGGCCTGCCTGTGCCAGCCCAACCAGGGTGAAACCCCCATTTTGTGCAGAACTCTGCCATGGTTTAAAAAACCACAAGAAGGTAGATTCAGGCAAGATATAAGGATATATTTTTTTTTTTGCAACAAGAGTGATGAAACACTGGAAGAAGGTTGTTCAGAGAAGTAGATGCCCCATCCCTGGAAACACTTCAAGGTCGGGTTGGATGGGCTTTGAGCAACCTGACCTAGTTGAAGATGTCCCTGTTCAATGCAGGGGAGTTGGACTAGATGACCTTTAAAGGTCCCTTCCAAACCATTCTGTGTTTCTATGTGCCACCTCCACACAGTCACGAACGGGCAGCAAGGGCTTCCTGGAGACTGCTCTGCACCACGACTCAGCACTGGGTTTTAGCATCCCTCCTGGCAGCTGGGTGGAAAAGACACCCAGTTCTGGCTGATGAGACCCAGACTCATGAGTGCTCTTAATGAAAAAAATAAGGAGATGGAGAACTGTCAGGGAGGGATAAGCCCCAGAAATTGGGAGCTGAGTGAGAGGGAGGGTGTGAGAGGAGTGCTGAGCTGAGAGGGCAGTACTGGGATTAGGAAGCAGCAGTGGGAATTAAAAATGGGTGAAGGGACAGTCTAAACAGTAGAGGGAAGGGGCTGGGAAGAGCTAAGTTGCAGGAGCTAGGGCAGAAAGGGTAAAAAAAAAAACCAAACATGCTTTTTTCTGGGGAACGAGTGGAAAACAATTACAGCACTCACCCCATCACAGCTGGAATTGAACCCCAAATTCCCAAATCTGCCATCCCTTTGCCATCAGCAAATACCACGGGCTTACTGACAAACTCCTCCCCATCAGGAGCAAGCTCTCAGAAAATGATCAATTATAATTACTCTGTTACTTATAATTGCTAAAACATCAGAGATTTTATGGCAGAATTTATCACCCATGAGGGAGGTTCAACACTGCAAACTCTTTTTGAATTTTGCTTTGGGAAAAAAAAGGAGGCATTAGAATAAAAAAAGGTCCTTCTCACAGAAAACTCAAGATTTCAAAGCTAGGTACAAGAAATGTAGTAATTAATGCAGCATTAATTCAGATGCCATTTATGTATATATTGTAGTAAAGTCTTCCAGGCCTCATCTTACCAAAGGCTCCCTTCCTTACACAGCATATCCTCTGGATCTGTCCAGGGATCAATCTGAGCAACATCAACACAAGATCCCTGCTCATTCAGCACAGCTTTTCGAAGATGTGAAGTGAATGAGACTGGGAGACAAAAAGAAGAATCTCAGAGCAATGAACATAGCCTTGAAGAGCAGCATCCCACTGCTGTCACTGCCAGGACAGGTCATTTTCACCTTTTTTATTATTTCTTTAAAATCTGGCTTGCATTTTTTGGTCCCATTTCTTCACACACCACTGGCAGCAACTGAAGCCAATGGGAGCTATCCTCTGTATTAATCACCAAGTATCTTGGAAAATTAAAGCTCCATGCAGGCAAATTTGTCAATCCAAGATTTTCAAGTATTTCTGATAGTCTCTGACTCTTTTCTATTTCAAACAGAGGAGAAATGCCAGCCACTTGCCCCATGGCTGAGCACACT